ACCTCATTCTGAGTTCCCAATGAGAGACCACACTGTTCTTCTGTTTTTGTTAAGAAGAAAGCAGGGTGTATCTAGCTTAAATTGCGAGTTTCTGTCAAGCCTGTGTTTCTGAGATCAAGAAATTGTCTAAAAGATTGTAGCTGCTGTGGTGTCAGGTGGTAAGGTGATGATTTTAATTTTGTCTGAATACTAAATATGAATATTACACTTCTGACCTATGTTTCTGATGGCAATGATTTTCCATTCTACAGCTGAAACACATGAAGAAGATACATGGGCCAAGTTAAAGAAAGTATTGGAAGGAGTACATAACAATCAAAAGAGTGGTTCTGATGGCTCAGGTAGTCAAGTGTCCGTCAAAACTGAATTATGTTGAACTTGCAAAGCATTTTGTTGTTGTTGTTGTTGGAAGCTGAAATATTTGCCAGTTGTAATGTCTAGGTGCTTTGGTAGAAGACTGGGAAAGTGAAAGGCACAGTGTTGTTGGTCATAGATCTGGATCATAGCCCTTGGCTGACAATGATCCTAGTGAACATGGAAGATTTCTCTGACAAGGCAGAGTCTGGGTGTGTTTCCTGTCACATATTTCATGATCAGTTCCTTTTGGTCATGTTTGCGTCATACGTTCTACCAACAACCTTCTAATAATCTGGCCGAACTGTGGGTGGAAAAGGGGTTGGGTGTAGAGCATTTACTGAAAAGAACTTTGTAGCAACAACTGAGGGAGAGACTGAATTCTTCTGGAACTGGACTCAAGATTCTCAGACATGAAGCTGTGGCACAGGGATAGCATGCTACTAAGCTTGGTCCTCCTGAGAATTTTAAATGAGTTCAAAACTCATTGTTTTATAACTTGCATTTTCATTATCTATCAAAAGGAGAGAACTGGTTTCTCCACTTTTGCCATTAGAGAAGGTCAGAATAGATGTGTTAGATTTTTTGCATATATCCTGATGAAAATGGACCATGTGAGTCCAAGGGTTCTTGATAGCACATGATCTCTAGTAATCAAGCTATGAGCCTATGTGTCCCCACACAGTGCTGCTTTGAGGAATGATGTACAGCTAAAAGCATCCTTATGTTTATGATCTTACCATTTCTAAGTGACTCGTATGAGGATAGTGGGCTGTAAACATCAGTTGGAGATGCTACAGAGTCAGGACACCCTCTGATTCTCCAGGGAAATAACCACTTTTATCTTGTGGAAGTGAGGAAAACGTAGATATTAACAGTCTTTCTGCAGGGGTTGGATCCTTCAATGGTAGAAACAAGAGTGGCTCAGGTATCCTGAGCTACATTTTATCCCAGGGGCGTCTAGCTATAAGATGTACTCTGACTTTAAATTTCCTATGAGGAAACACTTGCTCCCATCATCTCATTCTGGATGCGTTTGAGAAAGAAGGGAAGGCTAAAAGTTAATTCAGACTTGATCTGTGAATCACACTGGTTTGGTGAAGATGGCCTGTGAGTAAATCGGTTAGAAGCTTTAAATTCTGATGTTTCCTTCCTCAGAACAAACTGTTTGTTTATGTATATTGAAATTTTACTGCCTTAGATTGTGAATCCTGACCTTTTCCAAAGTGTGATTGTAAGATGAAGAAAGTTACCAGGGAACTGGTCATGGTAGGATTAGAAGAACGAGGGATGAGAGCAGTGGATCAGGCGGTTAGTCCAAGCAGTGTGAACAAGTGAGATCTAAATTCAGTCAAGTTTAGTGTTTCATTTCTCTGATCATAAAGGAATCCAAGCCATTTCAATTGGTCATTGCCGAAGGAAGGGCAGAGATAAATTTGAACTTGAAATTTCTTGTTGAAATTCATGCTCTGACAACAATTTATGCTAAAAGATCCTTGGTAATCTATGCTTAGAACATAGATTCATGAAAATACATAGAAGGTAGGTCGGATCTAGTTGGATACTTTGGTTTTTGTCAAGTCATTGTCTGTGAGAACAGAGAATATGAACTTACAGGTGTCAGTTACGTAGTGTCAGATGGTTAGGGGCAGATAGTTTAATCTGTTTGGATACATAGTATTGGTATTATGTGTTTGACTTGTTTTCTGATGATATCCCTTTACCTCCTACAGCTGACATGTCTCATATGAAAGGATTTCCTCTATTACTATCTCTCTTAAGAGACAAATTTGGAAAGGCTGGTGGCAGTGGCTCAGGTGTTCAAGTGTCAGGTATTCGTGTGGCAGCGCAGTCGGAATTATGCTTAGCTTGCAAACATTTGTTATTTCTAGCCGAGGCATTTGCCAGTTGTCTGGTTTCCTTGGTATAGGAGTAGTAAAAGCAAGAGTTGTGGTTGTTCATGGACCTGAGTCAAAGCACTTTGCTGACCACTATCTTAGTGAAACATGGAAGAGGATTTCTCTGACTTGGTATATTCTTGGTGTGTTTCCTGTCATATGTTTATTATCAGATATTTTTTAATGCTGTTGCATAATACAGTCTGCCAACAATTTTCTAACAATTTGGCAGAACTGTGAGTGTAAGGAGGGATTTGGTGTACAGGACTGGAGAGCTTTTGGGCAAGGACTGAGGAAAGACCTGAATCCTCCTGGAACGTGGCTCATGAGTCCCAGTGAGGATGCTATGACATAGGCACACCCACTCTACTAAGTTGGGTCCTCCTCAGAATTTTAAATGTGCTCACAACTCTTTGTTTTGTGACTTACATTTTTATTCTCACTTCAGTGAGAGAGAACTACTTTCCAATAGTGCCATTAGAGAAGGTCAAAGTGGATGTTTGACCTTTGTGGCTTTGTTTGATTTAATTGAACCATATGATTCCCAGGACTCTTGAGACCCTGTGATCTCCAGTAACCAAGCTACAAACCTATTTATTTTCACACAGGAAAGTTCTGGAGGCTGATGTACAGCCAAAGTCATTCTTTTCGTTTTTAATTTAATTTTATTTTTCTCTTATCAGTTACATTTTATTAACTCTGTATCCCAGCCGTGTCCCACTCCCTCATTCCCTCCCAATCCCACCCTCCCTCCCTCATCTCCACCGTGCCCCTTTCCAAGTCCACTGATATGGGGGGACCTCCTCCCCATTCATCCGATCCTGTTTTATCAGGTATCTTCAGGACTGGCTGCAAAGCCCTCCTCTGTGGCCTAACAGGACTGCTCCTCCCTTAGGGGGTGGGGAGGTCAAAGAGCCAGTCACTGAGTTCCTGTTAGAAATAGTCCTTGTTCCCCTCACTATGGGAAACCAATTGGTTACAGAGCTACCACAGGCTACCTCTGAGCAGAGGTTCTAGGTTATAGCCATACATGGTCCTTGGTTGAATGACAGTCTCTGAGAAGACCCTGTGCCCAGATATATTTGGTCCTTGTGGAGCTCCTATCCTTTCCCCATCATACTAACTCCCCTTCTTTCATATGATTCCCTGTACTCTGCCGAACGTATGACATGAGTCTACTGAGCGCATCTGAAAGACTCTTAACTAGCAGTGTTTTCAAAGCAGATACAAAGACTCATGACCAAACCTTCGGCCAACGTCATTCTTATGGTCATGGTTTTGCCTTTGTCAAGTGACACATATGAGAACAGTGGGCAGCAGTCATCACTGGGAGTCCCCACAGATTCAGGAGACCTCCTCATACTCTGGGGAAAACAGTCAGTGAGGAGAATGGAGAGACTGATTAGTAGTCAGTCTGTAGGGGCTGGACCCTTTAATGATGGAAATGAGAGTGGCTCAGGTCTCTTGACCTATAGTCCATTCCAGGGACATCCTGCTTATAGCATGTACTCATATTTTGAATTTCCTATGGAGGAAATACTTGCTGTCATCATCTGTTTCTGGATGTGTCTGAAAAAGAAGCAAAGGTTAACACTGAAGACAGACTTGATTTGTGAATCACATTGGTTAGAGCAAAGCACACTTAATAATTCAGCTGTTGCCCATAGAATGGTGGTGTTTCTTTCCTCAGACAAAACCATTTGAGTTGATGAGGATTGAATTTTTTTTTCTGTCGTAAAATTGTTAATCCTAACATTTTTCAGGTGGCAACCCTAAGATGAAGAGATTGACAGGTGAACAGGTCAAAGTAAGATGGGAAGAAGGAGATATGCCTGCAGAGGACCAGGCAGTCTGAATAAAGAGTGTGAGCCAGCGAGACCTAATTCCAACCAGTAGTTTAAAGCACTTCATTTCACCGAATTTGATGGAATTGAGTGATTTTAATTAGTCAGTTCTGAAGGAAGGGTAGAGATAAATTTGAACTTGAAATTTCTGGATGAAATTCATCCTCTGGCAATAAACTATACTAACAGTTCTTTGGGAACCTAGTCTTGTGGCATGGACTCAAGGAGAGG